CTTGCCGCGTCCTTACACTGCTCACAGATCCACTCTACCAGCTATTTGCGCAGAAGAATGCATAGTGGAATTTGCTACTACCTGAACAAACAGAATGTGCCCACCTTTTGCAGGTTTCACATTCGATTCCTTTGACCACATTCTTCCCGCAACTATCCTTTAAACATGGATAGGACACGCGCGTCATTTTTAGTACAGGTGACATGAAAAACAAGAGGTGATACGACACGTAAAAGCAATACACAAATCCAAATTAACCAAACCAAATGGCTATGCACGAAGTTTTGATCCGCGCTGTTAAGCGCTCTTTGACAAAGCACTGCAAATAACTACGATCAAAAACCTCGGGGAAATAAAGTGTAAAACACAGTCACGTCTCACTGTCGCTCGAGAGCCGACGATGGTAAGCAAGTGGAAGTATGCTATCTGGACTTTAGCAAAGCATTTGATTCAATATGTCATCGCTTACTTTTGGCCAAGATACATGCTTCAGGGATAAGGGGTAACATCCACAAGTGGCTAACAGCTTTCCTGGCCCATAGGACCTTCGAGGTGCGGGTCGGAGAAGCGAAATCGACATTGGAAAATATTGTCAGTGGTGTTCCTCAGGGATCAGTTCTAGGTCCACTCCTATTCTTGCTCCACATCAATGATCTGCCTGAACACCTAGGATCACCCAACCATATATTCGCAGATGATGTCAAGGTGGTAGGATCAAATAGGAGAGAGGAATTAGGGAGGTACATAGGAGAAGTCTTCAAGTGATCAAGTATATGGGATCTGCCTCTCAACATAGGAAAGGGTCATGTCTTGACCACTGGTGATGAGGAGCTGATAGTGGAGAGTAGTCATGGCGGTCTTTCACTAGGAACGACCCAGAAAGCTAGAGATTTAGGAATCGTATTGACAGCAGACTACAAATGGGCAGAACAGTGTGCTGCAGCGGCTCACCGTGCCCGTCGAGAGCTTTTTAGATTGAGGTTGGCACTAACATGTAGGAAACCGGAGGTATTCCTACCTCTATACAAGGCCATTGTTCGACCGCATTTGGAGTATTGTGTACAAGCCTGGGCTCCCTTCTTCTAAAAGGACGCCGCTTGTCTCGAGGGGTCCAACGATTAGCCACAAGGATGATCGAAGGACAGCGAGGGAAGTCGTATAAGCAGAGACTGCACGACCTTGGTCTCTCCTCCTTGGAGAGAAGACTCATAGGTGACTTGATAGAGACATCCAAAATTATGAATGGCCTATCAGGTTCGGATCAAGCAGTGTTCTTCGAGAGGAGAGAAAGCAATACTAGGGGGCACAGGCACAAGCCGAATAAAGTACGCACGAGACTAGCTGTGCGTCCAAACTTCTTCAGCAACAGGGTAGTCAAATCATGGAATAGGCCACCACAGGAGCTGGTGGAACTGGGTAGCGTACATGCTTTCAAGAAGGAGCTTGATAAACGCTGGTTGAAATTAGTTCCTGAAGTAGATGCATAGTTTAAGGTTTGGTAGAAGTTATAGGTTTTCTCATTTACTAGCCACCCGAAATAGGGGAGCGCTTCCAAATGTGAGGTCTCTCGCCTGAACAAGGGGAGAAGATTTTTTCCTCTCTCTTCCCTTGCAGAGGCGGAGACGATTGGTACGAGAAGGAAACGCGCATAACTACAATATAGAACACTCGCAGTGGTAGGGGCCAACACGTGGCTTACTACCGAAGGAACTCTAGACGCTCGATTTGCCGTGGCCAGCTCCTGTCTTGTGCAAACTGACTGACTGACTGACAGCAAACCGGATTGGCGTCCCTGCTCTGCGGCCGTAGCCCCACACCACCAAGTACCGATCAACTAACTGTCGAAGCGTTATGAGACACACGTGGCCCGTATACGCGAGAACCTGGGCTATTATACTGGTTCAAGCCGCAAGTCTTGTGAACTGTCCTGTCCTTTTCTGTCCTGTCCATTTAATAAAATGAAGTAAATTGAAAGGAAAAGAAAGAAGAAGACGGAGAAACCGATCAATTGAAGAGGTGCGTGCACACATATGAGCAAACCACCGAAGGAATTCTGGACGCTCGATTGGCCGTGGCCACTACCAGGCCTGTGCAACCTGATCCTAACTGACCTGACCTTACCTGACCTGACCTGAACTTTATCGTCCTGGAACTTGACCTTGACCGCGCGGTTCGAATTTCGGAGTGAGGAAGATCAATACGGTTTAGGTGGATCATCCTGATCAGCAGCGAACTTCACTGAGAAGATCGCTTAAATCAAATCAACCGTAGCAGGCAACTATTTCAAATTCAGGATAAATCGGGAGTCTTCCCGAAATAGGTATCGACAATACATATACATTCACGCTCCCCACAGGATTGAGGTAGATTAACGGTGAGCCCAAGGAGTTATTCAGCAGTTTGTGACGATCTATTAAAGGTAAGCCGTTTTCACACGTTCCGTTTTCGTCCTGCTGGCCAGCTGCCCACCGGGCTTTTCTATTCCATTCGCTAGAGGTGTTTTACTCATTAACTCACTTCATACTCTACCTCATCTAACCTTTTTCCACCACACTCCCACAAAGTGGTGAAAATGGCTAGACATAGCTTTATAGGATCACCCTCGAGTCCCAACGGGAGGTGTAGGAATTGTTCCAAAGCCCTAAAAAGTAGTATCTCCCGCGACCAAAGGGTTTCATCGTGCTTGCAGTAAGCTTACCCCCATGCTTACCGACTGCACCTAGATAACGCGGAGATTAAATGGGTTTGTTGTGACTGTTCACAACTAATTATACATACCCGCACTTTAGTGCAACAGCAAACCGATGACGACAACATAACTAATGAGGAAACAGTCATAGAGCTCAGGAAATGCCAACCGACAAAAGTCCCGATTTAGAGGAAGTTAAGGCAAGTCTGGAAGCACTTGAGGCAAACATGAGGTAATAACTCCGACGAATCCAATCAGAAATTAATGCTAGGACAGCCAGTTTGTCCGAGATCAGGAAGGAGGTGACCAGCATGGCTTCCCAGATTAAAAATCTGGGTCACGAAACGGGCATCGCAATAGGCAGGCATAGAAGTGTTGTCATCAAAGGAATGGAAGAGCCGCTCTGCAGTAGTGTCACACTGAGAGAAAGGGATCTGAGACACCATGTCTTCTCCCAACTTAGACAGGTGGGAATCCCAGCCCACACACTAATCAAAAGGATTTTCAGGCTTGGGAAATGGTCTAACGCACAGGTAACCATAGCGCGTTTCCAAGGCCAGTTCTCGTAGAATTTGACAACCACAGATTCCGGGATGCATTCCTGATGGCGGCGGGTAGATTAAAGAGCTTGACGAATGGGAAGGTAGGCGTCGAACCGGATAACGCATCTATGTATGCAGGCTTTCGCCGACAGGCATCACCAACTAATACGACACTGCGATTTTCGGAGTAACTCAGTAGATTTCAGCATCAGTCACCGGCAAGCGCTGCTCAACGTACCACATCCAATCCCAACTCAACTACACCAAAACTATCACCCACAGGACACAGACGTAACGATGAAGGCCCAGAGTCCACGCTAGTAGGACGGATGACAATGGTCACAACTAATCGTAAGGACAAGCCGGACGAGGTTGTGTCTACTCAGCTGGAGACTGGTAAGAAATTGTGAGCTACGGTGGCTCGAAGGGCCAGTGTTGACGTCATTCCCTCTGCGGTGCCTCAGCGACTGAGGGACAAGAGTATGCCGGCGACAAAAACGAAGAGGGCTCTCGGGCAGTTTGCCCGAGTGCGCACTAGACTCTAGTGACACCAAGGCTAGGAGGGGGCTGGGGCTGGGGGTTTATCGGCATTCTACACGAACGCCTACAGCCTAGGCAACAAGTGGGGAGAATTAAGGGCTGGAACCGTAGGATCAGACTGTATTGTGATAGCCGAGACATGGTTACACAGGGCTATCACAACGGAGAGCCTGAAACTCACCGGGTACAGCGAATACGCGTCGAACAGGGAAGATGGTAGGGGTGGAGGTGGCATGTTGCTCCTTGTTTCGGACACCCTAGATCAGGCCGAGGGCGACCACATGTCCACGACGAATATCCAGGCGCGCTCATGCACCATACAATCCCCGAACCGCATAGTGACGGTAGTAGGTGGCTACAGAACACCACTGTCAGATAAGGGGGATGGCCAATTGTGCGACTGTCTGACCAGGGTAAGCAACCATGTGGAGTGGTTGGTCATCATGAGAGACTTCAAATCTCCGGAGGTAGACTGAGAAATCCTGTGTGGCCCTCACTCTGGTTTTGGTAGAAAACTAGTGAACTTGATAACAGTGCTACCTCTGGTTTAGCATGTCAATCAACCCACTAGATAGCGGGAGGGACAAAGGCCTAGCATGTTGGACCTAGTTCTGTCCAAGATGCCGCAGGATGTTGAACAGCTCGGGGGTTCTGCTCCCCTAGTGCTAAGTGACCATGAAGTACTTAGGTTCCACATCAGGGATAATCCTCTCCTGGTCCCACACAACCTCAGGAGGGACTATAGGAAGCTGGATGTCCCGGTGCTCAGGCAAGCTGCAGAGGCAATCCAGTGGACAGCAGATGGCCTTCACACCGTGGAGCAGGCGTGGCAGTTATTCAAAGACAGCATCACCCGGCTCACGGACGTTTTCGCTCCCCTAAGAAGGGCCAGAAGAGGAGGCCGGCCGCCTTGGTGGGTAATAAAGGTAGTCAAGGCACAAGCCATAAAGCGGAGGGCATGGAGCTGTCTCAGGAACAAGGGTGGCCATCGTCAGCACCTGCGTTATCGGGCGACGAGAGAAAGGGCACTCAGGACTCAGAGACACTGCCAAAGGGATTACGAGAGTAGGATTGTTCGCAATGCCAAACAGCGACCAAAATCCTACTGCAACTATGTGCAGTCTAAGGCTCACTCTAGGGTTGCGGTTGGTAATGTAGTAGATGTAGCGTCCATCAAGGAGAAGGCTGAAGTTCTAAAGAGCTTCTTCGAGAGGGTCCACTTAACGAACATGGGAAGGCCGTTGCCTGACCTTCTGCGTAGACTCCCCGAACAGAGCATGGCCCCGTTTGTATTAGAGGCAAAAGAGGTAGAAGCTGCACTGAAACAAGTAGATCAGAACAAGGCCGCGGGGCCGGATGGGCTGCGTCCAGCAATACTGCGGCCCATTGCTGACATTATTGCAGGTGAGCTTACTCAGCTTTACAACCGATCCCTTGCCTCTGCAACGCTGCCGGCCGACTGGACCACGGCAGAAGTGGTTCCAATCCACAAGGGTGGATCAAGGGCGGCTGCATTGAATTATCGTCCAGCAAGCCTGCTTTCGGTTGTCCTGAAAACCTTCGAGGGGTTCCTCAGGGAGAAGTTGGTGGGTTACTTGGACGACCAACACCTCAGAGCGGTCCAACAACACGGCTTTGTCAACAGAAAGTCGTGTCTCACTAACCTCCTATCATTTCTGGACTAGGTAACAGACAGGTTGAACGCAGGAGATCGAGTCGAATTGTGCTATCTCGATTTCAGGAAAGCCTCCGACTCGGTCAATCACAGATTTCTCCTGCAAAAACTGGAAGCCCTGCGCGTAGATCAGCAGTTAGTGAAGTGGATCAAAGCGTACCTACACCGAAGGGCGTTCCGTGTAAGGGTCGAACAGGAAACCTCTAGGACGGCAGCAGTCTGTAGTGGGGTACCTCAGGGCTCAGTCCTTGGTCCTATACTATTTGTGCTGTATGTGGAAGGCGTCACTGAGGTCTTCCGGTGTCCTGGGTTCCCATTCGCAGATGACCTTAAAGTAGTAAGGAATCGTTCATCGGAGGATTTACAGGAGGCACTCAACGCAATTAATGACTGAGCGGCCTCATGGGAACTACCTCTCAACGCCAGCAAATGCAGGCACCTGCTGCTAAACAGAGGGACCGCGGAGGTGCGACAACTAGGCGCTGGGTCGATGAACACCAGAGAACCTACAGATGTAGTCAGGGATCTAGGGGTGCAGATATACTCCTCCTTTAAGCCCTCAATGCAATGCACGGCAGCCGCAGCGAAGGCCAATAGAGCCTTATTTCAACTCTGCAGAACGGTAATATCGAGGGAGGCTTCGGTAATCTTGCCATTGTATAAGGCGTTTGTGCGGCCACATTCTCATTTGGTAGCCGTTGGCTATTTCTGCCATCACTCCTTTGCATCACGCACCTCACGTACAATTAACACACAAATTTTTGTTCTCTGTCATCAGCCTCGGGAAGCTCTCACGGCAGGAGTGGCAGTCCGCTGAGGTGCGGCGCCTATCAAATGATTGAGTCTGCAGATCGCCAAACTCAACAGCCCCAGAAGACGCCAGCATATTGTTATTTATCAATAGAGCTGTAGAACTAAGGCATCTGAACATACTGATTATGGGAAATTTCAATCTCCCGTCTATCGATTTCGCGACCCTCAACGTCGCCGGTCCAGCGCAGTCCATGCATACTCGCTTTCTAGAGCTATCTACTGAACTAGGATTAGTGGAGCACGTGAAAAGACCCACTAAGTGGAATTCCGAAGGAGTCTCATCCATGCTTAATTACGTCCTTACTAACGACTCGGTGCTAGTGAACGATTTACGGATACTGAACCCGCTAGGAAAAAGTAACCATGCCACGATCATGTTCAAATTCCTGGTGTGTACCACTAAAAAGATAGATCAGTTACTCGCAGGGCGGAACTTCCACAGGGTTGATTATGGGGAGTTTAACAGAACTTTAGCAGCACTTCCCTGGATGGAACAATCAGGTAAAGCATCAGTTGACGACTTGTGGCGTAGAATCCTGAACAATCTAAAACTGAAAATTCACGACCTACTTCCTCTGCGCATCATCAAACCCCAAAATGGAAAAATAATTTGGCTTAGGAGCACGACTAAGAAGCTGATCAGCTTAAAGCGATCATCTTGGAATAGATACCAGCTGAATCATACGCTCGAAGATTTTGAGTCTAACAGGACGCTCAGAAACCGATGCACAATGCTCCAACGTGAGGACAGAAGGCTCTACCAGCTTCAGCTATGCGAGAAGGCAAAGCAAAATCCTAAACTGCTCTGTCGACACAGCCCAGACTAGGTCCTTTACTACTGGCATCACGAAAATAAAAACGGGAAATACTGAAAGTTCCTCTAACGTGGACGCCGCGGAAGCTTGAGCAATTCATTTCGAAACTGTATTTGAAAGCGACTCACTATACGCGGAACAACAGCCAGCTGACTTTGCTTCCGTTACTCCAACCGAAGTACTCTCCGTCATACATTTTGACAGAGTCACCATTGAGGCTAAACTGAGTCATCTGCGCCCAAACCTATCTCCGGGTCCGGATAACATACCGGCGGTACTCCTCCTAGCGGCGACAGACGATTGGACTAAAGAGGCAGATATGGGGAACAGCGTGGACTTCTCCAAGGACTTTGACAAAGTACCGCATTGAAAATTATGCGACAAACTCATCCAATGTGGCATGACGGGAAGGTTGCTAAGCTGGCCGCAAGACTACTTAAGTGAACGTAGGTATCAGGTAAGGTTCAATAGGGAGCTTTCAAGCCACCATTTAGTCCTAAGTGGAGAACCACAAAGATCCATACTAGGCCCCTTGCTCTTCATACTGTATATTAACGACTTGGTGGGACTACTAAAAACAAAGTGTCTCCTGTACGCGGATGACGTCAAGATCTCGCGCAGTATAAGAAACGAGGAGGACAGAGTAATCCTCCAACGTAACCTAGATGCGATCGGACGATAGGGGAATCGAAAGTGGTCTCGCATTAAACCCTCTCAAAATGCCATGTAGTACACGTCAGGGAAGAAACGGGCAGCAAATACTATCTCAACTCGGTGTCAATGACGGTAATTAAACAGAAATCAGATCTAGGGTGGGCTCTGTCGGATCGTCCAAACTTCTCACAAACGGCGCTAAGCTAGTGAAATGAGGCAGCCTAGTGCAGAGCCTATTAAACCGAAACCTGGGAAGACTGAATCCCGAATGCTCCAGAACGTCATACAGAATCTAAATGAGACCCCAGCTTGAATATAACATTCAAGCGTGCGAGACGTTAAAGCACTGAAAGCGGTTCAGAGAAGAGCCACCAAACGAGTCATCGGACTATCGCAACTGAGCTACGGAGATAGACTTAAGCGACTCAGTCCCTTTACCCTCTCCTACAGGAGGCTGAGAGGGGACTTAACATTAGTACACAAAAGAGTATCAACGCAGAGTCACCCAAACAGCGAACTAATAGCACTATCATCGCACTGAAAACTGCGAGGACACTCTAAGACCATCTTGCACCAGCAGGGTAGTACTAACAGCAGACGGTTACATTTCTCCATCCGGGCCACATCCGCTTGGAACTCAGTACTCGAGGAAGTGGTCTCTGCACCTACGACAGTGTGCTTCAAGCAAAGACTAGATAAGTTCGCCGTGGGCATCACCTTGGCAGTGGACAGCAACCTTGAGTACCCTCGAAGTAATGTCAGATGGACCTCTGGACTATCCACGCAGCACACCTCGTAAGGCATGCAACTCGGTTCAGCTAACTGATTACAAGTAACTAACCTGCTACACCGTCAGGAAGTAACCTACTAACCTCTGTTTTGCCTACGCTTTCAGATTACAAGAATAAACGAATTCAAAACACAAATTTCCGAACATCAGACTTTATCGTATAGATCAAGAAACAGGCAAAACTACAAGCCAACGAGCTTTCTCCGCCTGTAAACTGGATAGTGGATAGTGGACTGCTGTTACCCCGATGGCGATCCTGCTCTTCATCTCTTCGCTTGTAGGTACAACACCCATCACGACTGTGGAACTACCTGGCAGTCGCAGCACAATGGGAATCACCAGCTCACAAGTGCAAGAACCCGGAAATACATTGGCCGAAGCCTAAAATCCTGTGACTCGATTGACTTGACTTGACTAACGGGCTGCGGCTCAAACCATGGTCTGGTCGGAAGCCCACTATGGGAGTGTGTAGTCGCGGGATTTGATCAGGGATAACCTGCTGACTCTCACCAATATTTTCGCACCCCTGCATCCCGTTAGGTCGCGGACCACCCCGAACTGGTGGTCCAGTCGAATGAAAAAAGCCCTTGTTAGAAAGCGGGCCGCATGGCAACGACTCTGTGCCACAGGCGGCTATCTTAGACACATTCAGTACCTACGAGAACGACAGTGTTTCAATTTGTCCATGGCGACAGCCACATTGCCGCAGGACTGGAAATTAGCTAATGTGGCACCCATCCACAAAGGAGGTGACAGGGATCTGGCCACTAACTATAGGCCCGTTAGCTTACTCCCCGTGATCCTAAAGGTCATGTAAAGACTAATCACAGATAACATGGCCAGGTACCTCACCCAATGCGGCATGCTGGCGGATGCAAACTCCCGAACTAATCGACGAGCAACGAATCCAAATACGTCAACGAAACGACCGACCTGCAAAGTTTTGCGGCACTGCATTATTAAGCGATCAAATAAGCAAATAAAAACTGTACAAACCTCAA